TATGCAACATGTTCGCAAGTTTGAGGGTGCTGAAACGGCAAGAGGCTGGAGAAATAATTAAACGATGCTCACATGTCCAACATTCTCCTCACAAATTCACAACATTCACAGTTCTACCATTGAGATAGTTTAGTCAAAACTGCATTTGCTGATTACATGTGTTTGATAATCATGAAAAGGGCATACCTTTTCCATGTCATCCCAGTGAGTGATGATACCTTGTTCGATTGGATACGTGAGAGTCAGTGCTCCCCGTCTCGACAGCGCCCCATCTCCGATGTAATTATCTCTCTTTCTCGCCATAACGCCGCCTTGCTCCCTAAAACGGCCGACAACCGACGGAAACACGGCTCGCGGTGCGTCACCATCGGCGAAACCGGCCTTGCACATTCCGGAGCCATTGTCAACGACAAGAGCTGCAACAGCGTCGTCACACATTCTGCTGAAAGGAGAGGTGAATCTAATAATATTATTGTGTTGTTGCACAATCATGTAGAACTTAGTGAGGCTGCATTTCGCTCTAGCACAATGTCTTTGATAGATCGCAAATCCTTCGGTACACGCTTGGATCTGCACTACTGGAGCTAGTTTAGCGCCGACCAATATCGCAGCATGACTCGATCAACATGAATGAATTCTACCAATAGACATTGACCCCTACACACGGAAAGTGCGGGATAAATAATGAGCGCTGGAAATACTGATGATAGCCGTGTACGTGTGGCAGGGAGAGAGTAAAAAGAAAATCATTATAATAATTATTTGATGAGAGCACAATCATTGTGACATTGAATGTGGCCGTGGTTCATTTCAATGGGTTTTTTCGCTTCTTTGTTTCGCCTCTAAGCCAGTGCGACATGAACAATACTAATTATGGTGAAGTAACACTAGTACTAGCTCTTTCATAGCAACGAAAGACTGCGAAGACTGCGGGCATTGCGTTCCGTTGTGTGCGTCAGCCGCGCGTATCCTCATGCCATCACTCACACGAATCTTCAAATCAGAAAGAAAGGCCCAGCATGCCAGTACAGCAAACATTGTAGCCAGCTCCATAACCAAAGGCATCTCTCCTGTCAGTGTCAAGGCTGTCTTATCTCAAGTGTCGACATGTCATACAATGCCAATGAGCCATTCACTTGTGGTTGAGCTGCTAATGCTAGCCTAGAGTAGGGATTTCAGGCGGTTTTTTGTTGTCAACAGTGCATACTGCAGTTATGGCTCAAATGAAAGATAATATGGATGTGATTATCAACCAGCCAAAAAATCAGAGCAATCGGCCAAGGGAAACCAGAGTTATGATCATTTGAATACGGGTGGGTACCCTTCATCGGCAAGTATACGAGCACGGCACAAAACGGGTTTCAAGAAGGCCATAGCAACACCCTAGCAACAGCCCAAAGTGCTCCAAATCGCACCAAACTTGGACAGCATGATTGGTGGAGCCCACCGGTATAAAATCCCGGAATATTTTTTTGAATTTTTAAAAACTGAACAGAAATAACAACAATGGCGTCCATAGCAACGACCTTAGCAACAGGCTTAGAATCTATGAAACTGCTGCTCATTGTATCAAAATTCACCTGTTGGATAAATGTACATACTGATATGGCATAGCATACATGTACCAATTAATGTTTGAACAAGAAACAGGACAATGAGCTTCCCGGCCGAAGTAAAAATATAGCATACATGTATCTACAAGTGACGCGCTCAGCAAAAGTGGTTGCGACTGGCCTCACAATTAATACGCGACATTGCAATGTTCACATGCCAGAAGGAGAGACAGAGGCTCAGCAGCAGCAACAACAGCAACAGCACTCTCACACACCATTTCAAGCATACATATAGAGCTGTTCATCCATGAACACGCGCACCCACCACCAGTCCGTGCGCCAACACCCACCCACACGCACACACACTCACACACACACATACTACTACTATAGCATGACTGCCCCATAGGGCCACGTCACTCCCTTGTGACAGGGAGCCAGAGTCAGGGTAAGAGAGTCCATGCTGGCGAGCCACATGCCGGTTGACATCTCGTTTTAGCCGAGAACGTTTAAAGCAACTAGAGGAGAGGAGGAGAGTCAATGCTAAAGGCCGATGTGTCAGGTTCGGCGCGTGGAACACACAACAGATTTCTGCAGTTTCCCTTTTTCTTGCTAATTCTTCTTCCAGATCAATGATTTTCTTTGACAGGCTTTCAACAGATTTTTTTTCAAATTTACTGGCATTTTCTTTTTGAATGTCACACGATTCAGTACCGACATTATGTGCTGGGATGACATCCAGTTCAGGCAGAACGAACGGCTGACAAAGCAGTTCGCTGATGGCGTCCTCGGCGTTGTCCTTCAGCAGCTTCTTCCGTCGGTATCTCACCCGCTTGACTTTCGTCCCAACTGCTTTCGCGTTCACTTTGTCTATTTCCTTGCCATCCACTGCTGACAACATGTTAACAGCAAAATCAGCGACTGCATTAAATTTTATTTGCGTGTTCGTAGTCCACGACAGAAGTTCAAGGACGAGGCTGTTCGTCAGCTGGCCAGGACTATCCACTGCTACCCGCCCTGATGGCGAGTCAAGACGGAACGCATTGCAACTGTTTACACGTCAGAGACAGCTTCTTGCACAGAGGGCCAATCCAAGACTCGTCTTTCTCGCACGCCATGGCGTTCTACTAAATTTCGCGAACAACCGCGACTCGTCAGCTAGATACAAGGAACTGATCTAAACTAAATCGAGGGTGCAGAATCCGATTATCGATGTTGCGAGTGTGTGCAATGCTTGCATCAAATCGAAAATCGACTTTGAAATCATTGAAAGACGCACGAATCCAGTCTTTTTTACGCCATTTCACCGAGATTGGTACCAAATGAAAGCTCAAAACCTCTACTCTCATGTAAACCCGTTCGATTTTGTATCCAAGCGTCACTGCACCATCCAGTGACAGTCGAACGCCTCCGCAAAAATTGTGCCATGCGCAGATCCCCAAATCAATGCAGCTGCATGAAGGCTCTTTCGGGCCAAAAAGTCACGTGACTGAAATCCCTACCTAGAGCATCCCAGTCCGACATGACTAACTTTACTTCTTTAGTGAGTCTGTAGTCTGCACCCTTCTGTACTGTCTGTAGCTGTCAAAGAGATGAGGTTTCTTCACATGTTCACTTTGTCTTCATCCTTGTCAACAGACTACATGTATGCCTACATGACGTGTAACTCATTTTCTCATTGTTGTATTTTAAGCTATTATTCTTTGCCCTGATACATCATGTACAGTGCATGTCACGTCTTTCTTGTACAATGTACTTGACTCTGTCCCCCTGTTCTTGCCTGTATATCACCTAAGGAGAAGGCACGAAAGTGTAATAATTATTGTGAAAGACATTTCAAAGCGAAGAAAAAATTATAATAATTATTGATTTCGAATCTGACACAGTAATTCAAAATCTGCAATTTTGAACCAATTGTTTCACCTGAAATATGTGACAATGTGACCATATCCCTGACATATTGTTGCTCTTCATGCACTGAGACAACGCTTGTTAGGTTGTTCTGTCCCTATCTTCCCAGTACATGAGCACAAACTAATTTTCATCCTTCATGTTTTGTGACACCCTGATTGGTCAGAATTCTGCACAATTGGCGCGTATCTTTGGTAATCGACCTGTGACCTACTGCATGCTGTGCCAATATCCGTGCTTACCTGGGTGCAGTGATACATGTACATATGGAGTCAGGAAAACACAACGTGTATACAAAAGTGTGTTAGTTATCTAGAATTCTAGATTTCATGCCATGGTTGCTTCTTTGGCTACGATAGCCCCTTACATGTACATGTACATGTACATGTACATTCGATTGCTGGTACATAAAGGGCTAAAGGTTTTCCCCAAAGGCACAGCCTAATAGATCTCCTAACAGTGAAAATGATTCTTGATTTATATACTAATTAGTGAATCGACTTGTGCAGGCAAATATATGCTGTTTTTAATGAGCGCTAAATTGTGTCCGAAATTCTGAAACAGAATCTATAGCGTTAATCTTGGGTGGAAGGCAATTCCAATAATTTGCCGATTTTATAATAAGAAAAGGGAAGATTCAGCATATATTTGCCTGCACAAGTCGATTCTGGGTTTCAATAATATTTTTGTTATGAAATACACAGTCATACATGTCGAACAAGTAACGTAGTTGCGTGATGTCTGCGGCCTTCATCCTATTCATACATGTAGCTATATTAAAAGGGAAGATGAAAATAGTAAGTGCACTGTAGTCATTATATTGCAGTACCAACAAATACACAATCTTACAAGCAGTTTATTACACAAAATTAATTACAAACTACCAGTAACTGTCTTGGCCAACAGCTGACAAAAGTGGAAAGCGGGACCAAAGTGTCCACATTTCATGAAATCTGGACGAAAGGCGTCCGGATGAGGACCTCAGCAGGACGCAGGATTCTCTCAACTCTGGACTGACCAGACGAGGTCGTGACGGTTGGACAGTCTGCCGTTTATTCTTAGAGGGTCTTCCAGGTTCAAGATACACATACATGTACTTGTACATGTATCTTGTACTGTGTAATCGAGCGTCTCCATTGGCTGCTCTCCATTCCGTCACAGTCTCTTTCATCGTACGTACACGTACACACCTCGTACTACTGAACTTAGATTTTATATTGTTTTCATAATTATAATATGAAACTCGGATGGTGAGCCATAAATAAATGTAGAAGAACCTTCCAAGTTGGAAGGCTGTCGGTTAGCGCTACGGCGATGTGTTGAAGCTAGGTGTCAGGACGTCGAATGGTTCAGTACTCTGTCAGTTTTGTGCCTAGTTATTGCACTTTATGACTGTATAATAGTATCATGTTACAGTGATGGAGAGTTACTCTTAACTCGTATCCATATGTCCTTTTCTCTTCTACATATACAAGTAATTATAATATTATTTGTTTATTTTGACTAAGTCCACTATGCTCTCGAATGAATGCGGAAAGTGGCGGCGGGCCCTGCTGCTCAGCCGAACTTGGTGGTCTCGGCGTCTGCACAGACAAAGCGCGCCAAGAAAAATAGAGAAGGACCTAAGAGAGAGAAAGAGAAAAACAAGACGAGAGCAAGACATGTGTACGGAAGTGTAGCGCCCACTAATAGCTGATGCACTTTCGGTTTACAATGCTTGGACCAAATTCGTTGTAATCTTCCTTGCAGATCCACATCGGCTGGAAGGTGCGCAGCGAAGCTAGAATAGAGCCACCGATCCACGCAGAGTACTTCCTTTCAGGTGGAGCGATGATCTTTACCTTCATCGAGCTGGGTGCGAGGGCAGATATCTCTTTTTGCATTCGGTCAGCGATACCCGGGTACATGGTGGTTCCACCAGATAGAACGATACTGGAGTAGAGGTTCTTGGGGATGTCCACGTCACACTTCATAATACTATTGTACGTCGTTTCGTGTATGCCAGCCTGCTCCATGCCCAGGAGAGATGGTTGGAAAAGAGCCTCAGGACAGCGGAAACGTTCGTTACCAGTACTAATAACTTCTCCATCTGGTAGCTCGTAGCTCTTCTCCACTGTAGAGCTGCGTGATGCTGTGGTCATCTCCTGTTCGAAGTCGAGAGCTACGTATGTTAGCTTCTCCTTGATATCACGGACGATTTCGCGTTCAGCAGTTGTCGTGAATGAGTAGCCACGCTCGGTTAGCATTCGCATCAGGTAATCGTTCAGGTCTCGCCCAGCTAAGTCGATCCTCGAGATCGCATGGGGTAGCGAGTAACCTTCATAAATAGGTACAGTATGGGAGACTCCGTCACCAGAGTCCAGGACTATCCCCGTTGTACGACCAGATGAATACAGAGAAAGTACAGCTTGGATGGATACGTACATAGCGGGCACGTTGAATGTCTCGAACATGATCTAAAAAGATTCCAACAGGGAGAGAGAGAGAGAGAGAACAGAAAGCAAAATGAACATAACATTCATTATTAAAGCTTCCGTAAAAAAAGAAGAGAGAAAAAATGCTAATGTTGAAGCAATATCCTCCGTACATCAGAGTCATTGTGGTCTACCTACAGTACTGACAACTGAAATCCGACCCCCTTGCCGGCGCGCCGCGCCGTCAAGGGGGTCGGATTTCAGTTGCCAGCACTGTAGTTCACTAGTGATGCAGTGAGCAACATGTTTGTTTTAGAAACAGAATAATAGTTAAGAAGAGGTTGGTGCGACTTTGGCGATAGTAGGGGAAGAGTGTGTTGCTCCCTTCATGGGAGCTCGCGGTTTTCCTGCCGACTTGAATTCTCACTTGACTGACTCACGACTGCCATCTCAAGCTCAACTAATGAGGGGTGAATTCCCCGAAACACTGTATATTGAGCAGGGAGTGGTGCTTTCTTGCAGGTTTGCCGAGTGGACGGTTCGATGGACTTCTCGTGTGCTCTGGATGGCAGTCGTGAGTCAGTCAAGTGAGAATTCAATTCGGGAGAATAATAGTTGACAACGGCTGGTAGCGTACACATGAAAAACTCGAAAAAATTGAAAGTTGTTTGATCCGGTCGAGAAATAGCTCAAACGAAAGGTGTTGATCCGTAGATACGCGTGTAAAGTTTTTTTTGATTACGACCAACGAAACAGGAGATATGTGCTCTAGAAGATTGCAATTAAAAATTTGAGTGCGGATGCAGATTTTCTCGTTCTGCGGTTTTCTTAGCTTATGTCCCAAGTATGTCTAGCAGTACCTCCAGGAGTTGCTGCATCAACCTTAGTAAGGATTTTGCGTCAGAGGACCATGCCTTCTTCGTCAAGCTGCTTCTCGGAGCAGGGGTTCGGAGCACGGACATCCGAGTTATTGATATTCAGGGCAGGAGAGGTACGTGCAAAGTAACTCTTGCCTCGACAGCTGCCCGTGACACGTTGCTCTCCCGCGGACTGTCGGCCCAAGGGAAGACCTTGGAATTGTTGCCAGGGGATGGCACTGCTGGAACGGTGCATGTGTTTGGAGTTCCGGAGGACATGGCGCTGTCGGCCATTGCGTCTTCACTGAGTCGTTTTGGGACACTCTTGGGGCCCGCGAAAAGTGTCTGGAGATATGTGGATTTTGTAGAAAAAAAAAAAAAAAACGAGAAAAAGACGGTTGAGGGCTGCACCTTCAGTACAGGTATCGTATACTACACCATGGTACCCACAATCGCTGTCCCCAGCTCCATCACCGTAGGCCGGTACAAACTGCGAGTTTGGCACAAAGGGCAGACCCCCACGTGCTGGAAATGTAGCACCCCCGGCCACGTGACGAGGGATTGCAGGGCGATCTCGCAGCAGGGCACCAAGCCCAGTCCGGGAGCTGCAACGTCAACAAGCGAGCTTGGACCACCCCAAGAACCACTTGGGCAGGGGCAGGAAAACCAAGAAGTGGCAGCGCTACCAACACCAGCAAAACAGCAACAAGAAGGCAGTGTGAAGAAGGAGGCACAGGATCATGTCCCTGATGCACCACAACCTTGGACGTACGCCAATGCGTTGGGAGTTCACACTCCCTGCACGAGTGCTCGAACCGAGGCGACTGCCCCCACATCTTCATCCACACCCGCGTTCCCGATGAGTAGAGGCAAAGCTGGTCACCCATCACCTGATGACCAAGGCTCCAAGCTGGCTCGTGGGAAACACACGTTCCCAGCGCGTGTTATTACTCCGGCTACAAAGCAAGGAGTCCAGGTGCCTGAGAGTGAGGAGAGCAAAGCCATTCGTCAACTCGTCACAAGGCTTCGGATGAGTATGCCACAGCGAAAGCTCGGGAGCAGGCGAAGGGACAGCTTGTAAGTTGTTAGAGGTTGCGCGCCTTGCATTGTTTGTCTCATTGGCTTATTCCGCATTTGTCTGTATCTATCTGCATCAACATTTTAGCCCCTTCTATGACTCTCCCTCTCAATCCTCATGCACCACCTTTTATACCCCATGCATCTACGCCGACTCAGTCTGGCATCAAAATAGCCACGCTCAATGCATGTAGTTTAAGATACAAACTGCCAGAGATTGCCAGCCTCATCCGCACGCGTCAGTACGACATCTTGGGTCTATCAGAGACATGGCTAGATCCCGAGATTACAGACGGAGAGCTCAGTATTGACGGGTACAATCTGATTCGAAAAGACCGCACTCAACGCTTGGGTGGCGGAGTCTGCTTCTACTACCGTCAAGATCTCCCAGTTCGATCCCGCCCAGATCTGCATTCTGAATCTACAGAAACAGTCTGGGTAGAAATAAACGGAAAACCAGGTCGACACCTGGTTGGTTGCGTGTACCGGCCACCGGGGGAGCCAGTGTCTTACTGGGCAGATTTGGAAGCAGATATTGTACGAGCAGCTGTGCAGTCTTCTTCCGTGACCCTAGTTGGAGACTTTAATGTAAATATGGACCCAGCCCATCCGGCACCCCAGCACAAACACCTCACCGACCTCTGTGCTGCGTTTGGCCTCCAGAACATCGTCATGCAGCCGACCCGTGAAACTCCACAGTGCCCTGAAGGCACGATGATCGATCTCATATTGACCAACCCGGCGCTAGTGTCCCTAGCAACGGTTGTGCCCACTGATATTAGTGACCACAGCGCTGTGGAAGCCTTTATTAGATATCCTTAGCTAAAAAAACGCTAACGTAAACGCAAACCTTTCCGTACTTCGGATCGTTCAAGCTGACTTTTCCCTTAGCACAAAGTACGTTATAGTTGAGACGAAGTAGTCGTGACAACCATGGCGATATGAATTTTCGTGGAAACAGGTGCGGGAAATTCAAAATTTTGAACCAGGGATTAGTTTGCTGTCGTTCCGAAAGAATACCTTGGCGAGGTCTTTTACTCTGGAATAGCAAAAGCACGGCGAAAATGAGTTTTCGCTGTTCTCAGGTCCTTGGAAACCCTTTCCTAAACGCAGCACCGAAGACTGTAAGGGTTCTCCAGCTCCAGCACGTCTGGGAGAGGCCGATGAATTTCTTCCTCAGGAGTGCCGTGGAACTGGTCCTTTGTTTCCCAGATGGGATAGAGGGAGAAAGGCACGAAGCAGAGGACGCAGAAATTGTCAACTGAAAGGCAAAAGTCGCCAAAAAAGCTAAATGTCACAAGAGGAAGCAATCTCGACTCTCGATCTCATCTCGATCTGTACGACGTGCTTTTATCTCCCGCCAGTTACAAAACAATGCGAGTTTTTGCATTTGTTGCAGAATTTCTATAACGAACGTCGGCCCGTTATTTTGAGCTCTGTAACGTTTTTCCGTTATCCGATAACGTCTTTTGTCACGGCTGGGAGTGAGTACCGTAAAAGTTAGCGTTATCGTACTTTTGCTAAGGATGTCTATTCAGCTTGCCGTTGACGTTCCACCCGCGTCATCAACGACGTCGCGGCTGACCAGGAATATACGTGGCGTTGACATTAACTCTTTTCGGCAAGATATCCTTGAGGCTTCTCTACATGATTTTTCGGATCACAATGATGTAAATCACATGTGGAAAGAGTGGCACACTAAGTTCCTGTACGTTTTGGACAAGCATGCCCCGCTGCACAACTCTAAGCCTTCCCGGAGGGCGATACCTCCCTGGTCTGACAGAGAGCTGCACCAGCTCGAACAGCGTAAACGGCGGCTGCACAGCCGTTGGCGGAAGGATAGGACAAACGGCACACTGTATGCAGAGTTTAAACAAGCACGTAGCACTGCTCGGAACGCGTATCGGCGTAAGCGAAACGAGTACTTCTCCCGTCAGTGCGAAGAAAATGTGGCCAACCCTAGGAAGTCTTGGGCCATTCTAAATGCAGTCACTGGGCGTTCACGTCGCCGCCAAGATCCTAGTTGTAGCATCAGCGAGGTGGCCGACACGTTCCACTCCATTGTCACCGATCCCAACCGTCCTGAACAACTCTGTACCCCGCACGGTCCCGCTGGACCCGTCTCCTTGACCGAACTTGATCCTGTGACTCCTGCTGACGTCCGACGTCTCCTTGAGAAGTTGGATGCGCGGAAAGCCACAGGTAGTGACGGCATACCGGGCTCTCTGCTACAGCAGTGTGCTGACTTGCTTTCATATTCTCTTGCTGTGCTGTTCTGCACCTCGCTGAGGACTGGAACCATTCCATCCGCATTTAAATTGGCGTCTGTCGTGCCACTGTACAAGGCCGGTGACCCATCAGTCCCCACCAACTATAGACCTGTATCCCTTCTCCCAATAGTGTCCAAGTTGCTGGAGAGGGTAGTGCAACACCAGTTAGTTCGTCATTTGGACTTGACCCAGGCATTACCCGAAACACAATTTGCCTTCCGCAAGAAATGTTCCACGGAAGACGCCCTCTGTGTGCTGACTGATAATCTGCAGAAGGCGAGAGACAATGGCAAGACCACAGGGCTGTGCCTATTAGACATGTCGAAGGCTTTTGATAAAGTGCACCACGACAAGTTAATTCAAGACCTCCTTGCGGTTGGAATTTCTGGAAAAGCCCTTAGTTGGTTCGTCGACTACTTGTCCGGCCGCAAGCAGCAGATCCTCATCTCGCCTTCAACCAGCCCTGCTCTGGCTTGCACCTGCGGAGTGCCCCAAGGCTCTGTTCTCGGCCCTGTCCTCTTCAGTATATACACACGCGATGTCCCTTTGGTTTCCTCGCCTGTGCCAAGTGTACAATTTGCAGATGACATAGCCCTGCACGACTCCCAGGCCTCAGCGGCGGAAGCGTCCAGAACCCTCACCACAGCGGCAACTGCTCTGGCCGGTTGGCTGAAGTCCCGAGGCCTTATCTTGAACGCCACCAAGAGCCAGGTTCTGACTATCTCTCCCCAGCAGCATGTACAGGAAGTAACAGTCAAAAGCGGCGACTGTCTCCTCCCTTCAGCGTCTTCTGCGCGCTACCTCGGCGTTCACCTTGACAATCGCCTAGATTGGGACACCCATGTAAACTATGTGGTCACCAAGG